ATATATAAAAAATCATTGCCCTACCTTCGCCCTTGGCAGTGGACTTGCCGGGATCCACACTCTTGGCCGAGATCCCGCCGAACACCTCAAACCCGTTGCACATGCCTGCCGGCTGTTTGGGGTAAAACTTCATGAAGTCATCCTCCTTCGGCTTGACGTTATACTTCATGTGGTTCAGCTCCTGTAGCCGCTTCATCACCACCGGCTTCACCATCAGCAGCTCCACGTCGCTGCCTTCCTGCAGTGCCTTGGAGGTGAAGTCGCAGGCGGTGGAGAAGTCTGCCAGGATGGCCTCCAGTTGGACCCGGTGCATCCGCAGGTTCCGCTCCTTCGCCTCGCGAAGCTGGTCGATCCGGTCCAACAGAGCGTCGCGGTGCATCAACAACGCCTTCACGTACGAGTCCGTGTACTGGTGAACCTCAATAAAATACAATACAATACAATTTGACTTTCATGAAAGTTCATCTGTGTTGGTAGTTACATGTTAAGTATTAAAACTTTCGATCCAACACAAAAAGTTCTTTCACCTAGAGCTTTCGACCAGTTACTTTAGTCTTCCTCAGTAGACTGACCCAGTGAGGCTTGTCACGTGGCACTGATGGAAAGCTCTACGTGAGAGAACTTTTTGTGTTGGATCTAAAGTTTTAACACTGAACACAATATGGCTTTATTAATTTATCGCAGTTGTGAAACTGAATTAAAAACCAATTTTCATGAAGAATTTTATCTTTTTTTCATCATTACAGATACATTACAGATACATGTGAGGTAAGGAATTGTGTAATGCCTGTACCTCGCTGGCGACCTTCTCTGCCCGGTCTCTCACGGCCAGGCTCATGGCTGCGATGCCGTCCAGCGCCTTGCGGAGGATGTCCAGGTTCGGCTCCGTCTGGTTCAGCAGGTCGCGCATCACCGACGTGTGCTTGTCGCTGATGGTCGACACGAAGGCGCACTCATGTTCTCTGTGCTCCGCCAGGCAGCAGTCCCGGCACACAAGCTTATCACAGGTCTGCACGGACACAGTACAGCATTACGTCAATTACATTATATTAGCTATAATATACAGCCTAAGAAAACTGGGCAATTACACTCAAGTATCGGCAAACCAGCTTGTCACAGGTCTGCACGGACACAAAACAGCAATGAACTATTATTTTATTTATTCTATCATGAAAGTTCATTTGTGTTGGTAGTTACACATCATAACACATGTTTAGTTAAAACTTTTGGTCCAACACAAAAAAAGTTCTCTCAACTAGAGCTTTCGACCAGTCACTCTGGTCTTCCTCAGTAGACTGACCAAGTAAAGCATGTCACGTGGCTTCTTTGAAGTGTGACGTCAACACTGGGTCAAAGGTATCTGGTAGACGATGTCGGCCCCCGTCATGGTTCAATGAACCTTTATTTATAACTTATTTATACTTACCTTACAGTGAAAAGGTAGGACACAGTGCAACATATTGAAGGAAAATTATGTTTTTGAAAGCGTTTTGTTGCGGCGATGAATTGTTGGTTAAACGACAACATGTTTGAATTGGCAACGGATGAATATAAGGGGACTGCCACGGAGCAAAATGGGAAATTACTTATGAATAACTACATGTATCAAGTTTCCATCATGTAATTAAACATCTGTTTTACTTCTGTCCTCAGCAACGGTTTAAAAAGAGCAGCCAAAAGAAGCCACGTTACCACAAAAGCGTACGTCGAAGTTAGTTCGTCATAAACTCCTTTGGCAGGTTTCTAGCTGCGCGGTTGTCAGTTCGTCTCGGCTGCAGTTTCTTGTTACGTGGGGTCCAGCCAAGTCAATCCGCCTACCGGTAATAGCTTTCACATTGACAACATCATTCAAAAGTTATAACCGGTTAACCAGAGATCGTCAGTGTGAAAGCTATTAGGCGGAGAACTCTACTACTAAGAGTTCATTAAATAATCCAGTAATTGTGACATGCTACTTTTTGATGAAAAAAAAGCGCGAAGACCAAGATTAGCTGTGTGTCCATCAGCACAAATTTTGATGTTTCAATTCCCTTCGCAGTGTTGGTATAATTATTAGTCCCAGATGACATGGCCTTTCCTTTTCTTTTGTAATTCTTTGGTTTCTGTGACGTATAATTCGGGAGTTCCTTATAAAACTTGTAGATGTTTCAGAAATGTGTTACGCCCCCTCCCCCGGAATAACAGATACATAAGTAGAAAGGCTGTCCTCACTGGGAAAATGTTTTTTATCGCCTGTCAGTTTGCGGGTTCATTCTCTGGGCTATGGTCTTGTATATAGGTCAGAACTCTACAACTAAAAGTGAAATAATTCAGCAGTTGTGACATGCTACTGTTTGATGAAAAAAGCGCGAAGACCAAGATATCAAGATTAGGATGTGTATCTATAGCACAGATTTTTTGTTCAATAATCAAGTAATTGAGGCATGCTACTTTTTGATGAAAAAAAGCGAAAAGACAAAGATCAGCTATGTGTCCGCTAGCACAGATTTTGATGTTTCAATTCCCTGCTCAGTGTTGGTTTAATTATTAGCCCCAGGTGACCGTCTGTATGCTGGCCTTATATGTAGGACAGAACATGTGCTGCGTGCGGAGGTCTGAACACAAAGAACAATCGCTCCGAAGTCTCCGTGGGACGAGCGGCGGTCTGGGGAATTCTCGCAAAGTCTGCGGGTCGAAAGACGTGACGCGCCTCGGAGACTAACAGCCTCAGAAGGAGTGGAAAAAGTTCAAGGGCCCAGTGACAAGTTCTAGTATAGCTAACACCTGCGTGTACTACATACAGGAGTCCCGAAAATGAAATAGTTCCATCAGGTTGGGAGAACATATAGTAATATAGTACAATTTTTAACCTGGCAGAAGAAATTAAATAACTTCAAAAGCCTACTACAATTATAACTATCACCAGCTAGACAACTGCAGGTACAAAATGTATAACTATCACCAGCGGGGCTGGAATCGTAGAAGAAATACTCACTTTGTCATTGAATAAAAAGTTATGTCTGATTTTTTCCTTTGAAATCCTCTCAAAAACGCAGAAAATACCATTTCAGAACTTTGTTAAATTTTACAAACCCTGCTCCTTCGTCGCTCGCCTCGCGCCTACAGCGCTCGCTCATCCCTCAGACAGTGGGAACGACCCCCCCCCCCGTCCCAACCCCAATTCAAAATCCTGGCTACGGGCATGAACGGTAATCTAGTAGAATTTCTGACCTGGCAGAAGAGTCGGAGTTCCTCTGTGGGGTGCACGGCGCAGACGACGGGCTGGCTGACCCTCCCCACGCCCTTCTGTCTCGCCTCGTCCAGCGTCAGCACGTTGTGCACCGACGTCTTCTTCTGTCGCCTGTGGGCCTGCACGCAGAAGCCGCACAGGTTCACCGAGCACTCGAAGCAGCGCGCGATGGCGCGACTCTGGCCGCCCTCCACCCCGTCCGTGCACAGCCCGCACAGAATCTGCTCCGCCTCCTGGTTCAGAGACGCGATCACCAGCTCGTTGTTGATGATGAAATCCGAAGGTAGTTCCTCCACGCCGTTCTTCGGGATGTCCACCTCGATGTCACAGGAGGGGCAGAGGATTGTCGTGGTGTCGCGGCCCTTCACGGAGAGGGAGAAGCTGGAGCCGTTCAGGACCGACATGGAGCCGGAGTCGCGGTCGTCCGCGGCGCCGCCGACGGCGTAGGGCTCGATGGTGCGGAGGCAGGCGGAGCAGAAGGAGTGGAGGCAGGGCAGCACGCGCGGGTCCGAGAACTTCTGCTGGCAGATCCCGCAGCGGAGCCTGGGGCCGGCCGCCGCAGTTCCGTGCACGGAGCCGGGAGCCGAGAACCCGTTCGCGAAGCCGTTCATCTGAGGTTTGGACATCTTGTGTGTGTGTGAGGGGGTGCTACTAAAGGTGCGTCGGACACGTCCTGACTGACAAACGACGGACGGTCAGGGAGACGGGATATCAGGATGCTGCCGCTACGTGCCCGCCAGCCGGCCGCCGGACGTCAGAATGAGAACATCTGAGATTCTTGTTGTGTAAATCTGAGACGTCTTGGCTGCCGGATGACCCGACGTGACCCCGAGGGGCGGCGGGCTGCCCGCCTATAGGCTGCCGCTCCGCCTGGGAGTGGGTAAGGCCACAGCATGTCATTTGTGTGGATGGCATCCACGCGCGCATTGATTTTGGCCTGTTCCTAGAAAAAAACTGCTTCCTATATCAATGACCAAAGAGTCACGATAGTGACACAAATCGCGAGATTGGAAGATGTGATGAAGGTAAGAAACAGTACAGGACGAAACCGCTGTTTCACTGATATATTGCTGTTTCCACGACGAATAAAAGACTTGCTGGTTGTTACGTTCAATTTGTGTCCTAACATTTGTCGTGTATATTACAAGTCTAGGCATCTTGTATTTCGGCCATTCTTGTTTATTTCGCGCTCTCGCATTAGATTTGGGGTATCCAGTGAACGTCATTCATAAAAGTTACCTGGTGTGGCCTAATAGGAACCTGATGGTGAGTAACCGACTGCTTACGCGGAGCCAATGTCGACAGGGACCGTTCGTAGCCTCCGTAGCAGTCGTCTAGAACTGGGGGTTTTTTGGTCTTCGGCTGTTTTCTGATTAGCCTAGTTCTAAAAATGGTGATAATTCAACCTTGCCGGCTATGTTGTCTATATGCAATCAGAAAATAGCACATATAAGCTCCCAAAGATAATGAACACCCCCCCAAACCCCCCAGATTTTGGCATGCTATGGAGGCTAGACCGTTCGCAAACCCAGGAGTAGTCAAGGGTGAAATTACAGCTATTTGTAAAGCGTATATCCTGTCAGGTCGCAGGTGGATCGCGTAACCGCTAACCTGTATATCCGAGTCGGCCTGATTCAGCCGTTTCCTCAAAGCAAGAAACATTTTGTACTAACGAAAACGGATATAATTACGGTAAAATTAATTGAAAATGCAGGAAAAGAATAGACACTTGAATCAATGTTTATTATATGCAAAATGTGTCATCTTTAACAGTGTGTCAGTGATAATATTCGAGACGAACATTCTTTGTAACCTGTTACACTTCAAGTATGAATTATTATATCAGATTCTGTATTAGGGGGGCTTGCCACAAGGTTTTCTTTGTATGTATCTACATGTAACTTTTCTTTAATAAACGAAAAAAAATCGAAGCAAGAAACGCAATGAATAACACGTATTGATAACTAGCAATTCTTGAAAAAGGAAAAAAAAGAACTGTCAACTTTTTATGACATCTTTGGAACGAAAACAAACGTCGATAACACGTATGGATCTGGGTCAGACAACACTCTCCCAGAAGCAGTAACGAATCGCCCCTTACAAATTGTTTCCGGCACAGCCTTAACAGACGACAATAAATCTCTGGAGGTGTTTAATTGGCGAGGTCAGAGTGGAACATCTATAACGCACAGTAAATCGCGCGGACACGTTCAGAAATCCGCCAGAATTCCTAGTGCAAACCATAAGGCCCCGAAGACTCAGGACAGGTATCATATCTATTAATGATTTGTTAAATGTCCAATAGCTATAGAACTACCACCTAAAGCTTTCTTTTCAGATCTATGTAGCAAGATTGTTTCCAGGGCCTACACTGTACAGGCCAAGGGCCGCCAAGTTCTCGGCTCCAAGGCCAACATGTTAGCCTGGGTGCCGGACTGTTTCCAGGGTCTATTCGGCTCCAGGGCCTACATGTTAGCCTGGGTGCCAGACTTTTTCTTGGGTGTGTGGGCCTACACAGGCCAATTTCTCGTCTCCAGGGTCAACATGCTAGCTACCCTCTGTGCCAGACTGCTTCCAGTGTCTACACAGGCATATTTCTTGGCTTCAGGGCTAGCCTGGATGTCACACTGCTTCCAGGGCCTACACTGTACAGGCCAATTTCTAGACTCCAGGGTCAACATGGTAGCCTGGGTGCCAGACTGTTTCCAGGCCTAATAAAGGCCAATTTCTCAGCTCCAGGGCCAACTTTCTAGCCTGGGTGCCAGACTGTTTTCAGGATAAGCATGTTCCCAAGGATATTATATACAGAAACCCATCCAAGGCTAAGGTCTATGTCCACGTGCAGGCAGAAAGACCCTTTCTGGCCGGCCAACTCCTCTGGCCAATGATATCCCCTTTTTAGGTCGATTTCTACTATTAATTTAGCCTGCAAATGAGTCTGGTGAACACTATCTCAGTATCTGTAAATACTCTAATGTTCGACCACTTTTTGGATGCTAGAAACCATGTTGTTCTAAAACAAACCGCTAGGTGTCCCCCTACATCTAAAAACACACGTCGGTACATGGTATCGACAGTGAAATCATCTATCAAGCAGATCTTTGAAGGGTGCTGCATACATTTTCCTGTATTCTTTGCTATCACCGTTACATAGTTACAGTTTTGATTGTTACAATGGTATTAAACTGTTACATTGTTACAGTCTTGATTGTTACAGTGGTATTAAACTGTTACATTGTTAAAGTCTTGATTGTTACAATGGTATTAAACTGTTACATTGTTACAGTCTTGGTTGTTACAGTGGTATTAAACTGTTACATTGTTAAAGTCTTGATTGTTACAATGGTATTAAACTGTTACATTGTTACAGTCTTGATTGTAACAGTGATATTAAACTGTTACATTGTTACAGTCTTGGTTGTTACAGTGGTATTAAACTGTTACATTGTTACAGTCATGATTGTTACAGTGGTATTAAACTGTTACATTGTTACAGTCTTGATTGTTACAGTGGTATTAAACTGTTACATTGTTACAGTCTTGAGTGTTACAGTGGTATTAAACTGTTACATTGTTAAAGTCTTGATTGTTACAGTGATATTAAACTGTTACATTGTTACAGTCTTGGTTGTTACAATGGTATTAAACTGTTACATTGTTACAGTCATGATTGTTACAGTGGTATTAAACTGTTACATTGTTACAGTCTTGATTGTTACAGTAATATTAAACTGTTACATTGTTACAGTCTTGGTTGTTACAGTGGTGTTAAACTGTTACATTGTTAAAGTCTTGATTCTTTACAGTGGTATTATACTGTCACATTGTTTAAGTCTTAATTCTTACAGTGGTATTGAATTATTACATTGTTTAAGTCTAATTGTATTAAACTTTTGCATTGTTACAGTGACAGAACCATCATTTCTACTTAAGCCTTGCTCCATGTTGTTTTCTACCAAACTTCACTTAGACACTTTCAGTGTTGGCCATTGTTCACCAAGTAAACTTGATACAATTCTGACATCAGAAGGACATTGAGTGCCTGTACACTGTATCACAATAAGTGTGTAATACGTAACAATAACAATAAGAGTAATAAAAGCAATAAACATTCTATTGTCTACTTCTATTGTGGAATAGACATTACTGAACTTAATAATTAAGTAGTTTAGTCTTCTCAAACCGGATGGATTTTTCATCATTAGACGTTTGAGGTGTACATCCGACACCTTTCATCAGTGCAAGTGCACTTGTACAGATTAACGTGACAGATCTCCAGTTGTTTTCTACCAACTTCACTCACTTTCAGTGTTGCCAATTGTTCACCAAGTAAACTTGATACAATTCTGACATGAGTAGGACATTGTGTGCCTGTATAAGTAGTAATGATGATAAGAGTAATAAAAGCAATTAACATATGAATATTCTTTTGGCACACCCTCTACTTCTACATGTACGACAGAATCACCATTCCTAAACTTGTATCCTCCATATATTCGGGAAAACTTACATCTAAAGTAAACTTGATATGATTCTGCCATCAGAAGGACATTGTTTGTCTTGTCTAAAAAGTAATAAGTAATAAAACTCCAAATGTTCTATTGGCACATCGTCTACCTCTGTGAAATACCATCTTTTTTTAACACTAGCTCAAGTTGTTGTCTCCCAAATTCACTCAACTCGAGTTTTGCCATTTTCAAAAAAAAAAAACTTGATATGATTCTGTCATCAGAAAGACATCGTACTCTGTATCGTCATAAGTCATAATAATTTAAGTAATAAAAAAAATAAAATATTAATTTCTTTTGGCACAGAGTCTACTTCCACCAGTTCCAAGCCTGCTACCGTTAAAATATTCCAGAAAAGTTACATCTAAATGCTGCCCTTATTTTCGCCACGTAAACTTGATATGATTCCGTCAACGACGGACATTGCGTACCATGTCTAAATAAGAATACGTAAACATGCTACCGTCAAAAACTGATATGATTCTGCCACCAGAAGGAAATTATGTGCCTGTACATTTTTTCGTGCCAAGTCACAATAGTAATAAAAGTAATAACTCTACATTTACGACAGAATCCCCATTCCTAAACCTGCTACCTTTAATAGATATTCAGGTAAATTTATATGTTAAATTGTTTTCCTAAGTAGACTTCATATAATTCTGCCTTCAGAAGGACATTGTGTGCTTTGCTTTGTCTAAATAAGTATACGATGTTTCATATGGAAACAAGCGTGACTACCATTGTACAAGTACTGCTTGTTTCCATTCAGAATTTCTACTGTGTAGATTAAACTTGTAGGAACATTTGGGAAAAAACGATCTAAACCAAAGGTATAATTCCCGGTCTTACGTTGTACTGGTTAGTTTGACTGCGGATAGTCAGAAAGCCGATGTACAGTAGTGGTGAGACTCCCGCCTGTCGCCTATGGACAACCTGAAAAACACAAAAAAAAAAACATAAGAAAGAATTATCAGGCTGTGGAATAGTTTAATCAGGCATGGTTTGTGACAGAAAAGATGATTGTCCGCCGCTTATTCTAATGGTTCTTAAGCTGTGTCATGTTTACTGTACGGAAGGGTTTCAGGAAATGGTGCAGATAAAATAAGTACCTGGAGCAG